CCCAGCTGTGATGACCCCAGACCTTCCTCACCAGCTCCCGGTGGGCGAGGCCAGCAGAGGGAACACCGCAGAACACCCCCCACCCACAGCTGTGACCACCCAACACAGACATGGCACTCAGTTGGTCAGGAGCCCGCGGCCAGGGCGCCACCTGCCCAGAGTGAACCCAGGGCTGCAGACAAGAGAAACGTCAACTGGGGCCTGGTGGCCAGGAGCCGGGTGGGGGATGGAGACCCGGAGCGACCCAAAGAGACGGGATTGGAGAGGCAGCCGCCAGGGGAGGGAGCGCAGCCTCACACGGATGCGCGGAGACACAGCCTGGAATGCACAGCGCCCCCTACTGGAAGAGAAGAAAACTGAATTCCAGGAGGGCGTGTTTTTTTTTTTTTTTTTCTTTTTCCTTCTTTCCTTTTTATCTTTTTCTTCTCTGTTTTCCTCTCTCTCTTTTTCATTCCTTTCTCTCTCTTTCCCCCCTTTTTTATCTTCTGCTTTTTTTTTTTTACTTTTCTTCCTCCTTCTCTTCCTCTCTCAACCTTCCAAGTGTTACTCTTTCTACTTCGTGTAATTTACTAAATGCAAATAGGTGTTTGCTTCTTATTGTCCTCCCATGTACTGAACTACCCTAAAATACCTCCTGTCTATTCTCCTGCTAATAACCCCCTTCATAGTTCTCCTCCAAGGTAGCTAAGATATATTAACCCCATACCCTCACAGCAGCATAACATCCTACACCTGACCCTCAGTTCTCTATATGCCCACAGAAACTGTATGCCTTTTATGAAGCTAATGAATATATTTTAAATCATAATTGACTCCAACATCTCTAGACATTGAGACTAACTATAAATATATTAATAACGAAAACTAGCTCATAGATGATGTATAGTTGATATTGGGAACCGTTTACATTGCCTCCCATCACAAAGGAGAGATCTCAGAATTCTACAAGAGCAATACAGATCTATAGGGGAAAAACAACAACACAACAGTCACACAACGCTGGAAAGAAACGTGAGCAACATGAAAAGACAAGGAAAGAAAGGACCACAAACAACGCAGGTCAATTCAACATTAGAGGAGGTAACATCTACAGCAGAAAGAATGTCAGATAAAGATTTCAGGATATACATGGTTCAGAGGATATGGAGATTCCAGGAAGAAAAAAACCAAAAAACAAAAAATCAAAACTACACGGGGAGAGAGAAATTAAACCAAAAAAAGAAAAGAAAAAAAAAAAAAAAACAGAAATCCTGGAAATGAAGGAAATAACAAACCAAATTAAATACTCAAATGAGAGTATCACCAGCAGAGTAGAACACTTAGAGGATAGAACATCAGACAACGAAGACAAAGATATCATCTCAAAAAGAATAGACAGCACAGCGAGACTGATAAGAAACCATGAGCAGAACATCCAAGAAATATGGGATAGCATAAAGACACCAAATTTAAGAGTTATTGGGATACAGGAAGGTATAGAGGTCCAAACCAAAGAAATGAGCAATCTGTTCAATTAAATAATATTAGAAAACTTCCCAGACTTGAAGAATGAAACAGAAATCCAAATCTTAGAAGCCTATAGGATGCTGAATGTACAAAAACCACAAGAGACCCACACCAAAACACACTATAATGAAGATGCCCAACATAGAAAATAAGGAGAGAATTTTAAAAGCCACAAGAGAAAGGAAGTAGATTACATTTAGGGGTAAATCAATGAGGTTAATGGCTGATCTTTCTACACAGACTCTGAAAGCTAGAAGATCCTGGAACAACATATTTCAAATGCTGAAAGATAATGTCTTCCAACCAAGAATCTTGTATCCAGCAAAATTAAGCTTCAGGTTTAAAGATAAAATAAAAGCCTCCATGATAAACAAAAGTTAATAGAATTTGCAGCTAGAAAACCAGCGCTTCAAAACATCCTTGGCCAAACATTTCATGAAGAGGAAATGAACAATAACAATGAAAACCAACAGTGGGAGGTAGTACAGTAAAGGAAAAACTAATCAAAAAGGAAAAACAAATCAAGTTTAATAACAAAAATAAACAAATATGGCTGGAAGTACAAACCATATCTCCATAGTAACCCTAAATGTTAATGACTTAAATTCACCAATCAAAAGACATAGGCTAATAGACTGGATTTAAAAAAAAAAAAAAAACCCTACAATATGCTGCCTACAGGAGACTCTTCTGATAGGAAAAGACATCACAGACTGAAGATGAAAGGTTGGGAAAAATCATACCACTCACATGGACTGTGGAAGCAACCAGGGGTGTCCATACTTATCGAATAAAATAGACTTCAAGCCAAAGTTAATCAAATGGGATAAAGAAGGACACTACATACTGCTCAAGGGAACTATACACCGACAATACATAACAATCATTAAAGTATATGCCCCAAACAATGGTGCAGCTATGTTCATCAAACAAACTCTTCTTAAGTTCAAGAGTCAAATAAACCACAACACAATAATCATGGGTGATTTAACACACTTCTCTCACCACTGGACAGATCTTCCAAACAAAAGTTGAATAAAGAAACTGTAGAGCTCAATAACACAATTAATAACTTAGACTTAACTGACATATACAGAATATCTCAACCAACATCAAGTGGATACGCTTTCTTCTCAGGAGCACATGGATCCTTCTCAAAAATAGACCATATACTATGCCACAGGGCAACTCTTAGCAAATACAAAGGAGTAGAGATACTAGCATAGAGATCAGATATTTATCTGATCAAAATGGAATGAAATTGGAAATCAATGATAAAATAAGGAAGAAAAATTCCTACATCACATGGAGAATGAACAATATGCTACTGAATGAACAATAGGTTACAGAAGACATCAAGGAGGAAAGTAAAAATTCTTAGAGGTAAATGAGAACACAGACCCAACATCAAAATCTGTGGGACACTATGAAAGCAGTGACTAAGAGGAAAATTCATTGCATGGAGTTCATTACTTAAAGAGGAAAAATCCAACAAATAAATGACCTCACACTACATCTTAAAGCCCTA